AAAAAAAAAAAAAAAAAAAAAAAAAACAAAAAGAAATATATATTTCCTTGCGTCTGGAAAAAAAAATAGCCGACGCGTAATTTGTTTCATTTTTTTTTTCTTTTTATCACACGCTGAGAGAACAAGAAAGCGTTTACTGCTAATATATATATATATATATATATAATATAATTATATATAATATATATATGTATATAAATGTTCGCTAAAGGAACGCTTTAAAGGCATATTACTTTATCGATATAATTGTTCGAACATATAATACATTCGATCGCGTAATGAACAACGAACATGATTTTATATTTTTTTTTTTTCCCCTTGCTCGTTCGTACTCTGTATCATTCGGTGCCACTGCTTTTTGATATGCACAACGAGAGAAAAGATGTGCCAAGGATGTGAGTAGAGTGATTAATTTTTTTTACATATACACATATACATATATTAACCCTTTCATTATAGAAAATGCATAAGTGCGAATATCGTTTCATATGAATTCATTCGGATATACTTATAGGTTTTCTCGTTCATACTTTGCACGGTAATATAACAAAAGAGTTAAATATATATATATATTGTATATACATATATATATTTACAAAAGAAAAAAAAAAAGAAAAGAAAATAAATCACACTCATAAACGCATTTGGGATCTTTGGTTGAATTTTTGTTTGTTGACGGTAAGAGAAAAAAAAAAAAAAGGATAAAGTATTAGAAATATCATCGATTTAATATATCTTTTTTTTTTTCATTTTTTTTTCTTTTTTTTTTTCTTTTTTTTCTTTTTTTTTAAAATGTTACCCCCGAACAATCGAGACACATATAATTATATTACGTATATGCGAATAATGTCTATTACACGATCGTTTCTCTCTCAGCAAGAAGCGTTGTTGTTATACATTTTCTTTTCAACGTTGTCTCTCTCTTGTGTAATTATTCGGTGTAATGCGTTTCGTGTTTAACATCGTGTATCTCAGTGTTATACATTTGGTTTATTTTGGCATACAAAATAATTTTATTTACAGATTCATAATAATATTAATTATTTATCGATAGTTTTTTTTTTTTTTTTATACTAAGTGTCGATAGTATAATCGAATTACTTATTACATTATGCAGTTACGGCTATTTACATGAACGAAGAAAAAAAAAAAAAAAAAAAAAAAAAAAAAAAAAAAAAATTAAAAAAAAAAAAAAAAAAAAAAAATAAAGACACAAATAAATATATCTTGGACGTGGTAGAATTTTTATTTATCCTCGTGTGTGTACTCGATTCAATCGATCAATAAATCGTGAGGGATCGTTCCGTTGACACAGGGACATCATTTAATTATTTTTTTTTTTTAACTTTATTTTTTTTTTTTTTTATTTTTTTTTTTGTCGAAAAAAAAGATTCTGCGAAGGGACTAATAATCTAACACGATACGCTACAATTGTAAATGCACAATCTGTAAAAAGAGCAATATAATACCTCCTAAAATATATATTTCTAAATACAAAACATTTGTGTATTATATGCTCCTCGAAAATAAATCATTTCGAGTTAACGCAAGGACATACACGAAATACGCGCGTAATTCTCATTCATCCCTTCCAGAACTCTCTTGCATCGATTTATTAAAAGAAAAAAGATTATACTAGTAAATAAAAAGAGAAAAATAAAACATAAAGTTATTACATCGTTAGATATAATTTATCTTAAGGTTAATTTCGAAATTTTTTTTTGTTTTTTACTTCTAAATGTCCATGTGCAACGAATCGATCAATGATCGATTGATCTTTTGAGAATAAAGCACAAAGTGTGTTTATTTAACGCTCTTGCAAATAATTATGCAAGATAGAAATTATAGAGAATTACTATAGACGTATGTATATATATATATGTATGTATGTATATATATATATATATATATATATAGATATAAACAGAAGGATAGAAGGAAAAAGGGACGTACAAAAAAAAAAATAAAAGATAAGAAATAGCAAGACGGAAAAAGGCTTCGAAGCGCATTCGTTAGCTTACAATACGGAACTTTGACGGAAATAGTTTGACACATAATATAACTTTACAATATTGAAATAATCACTCCGTGATAACTAATCAAGAGGATACTCTCTTGTATTATTTATGAACCGATGTGATTAAACTAATGATTTATTGTTTGTATAATCCGTTATATATATATATATATAAAGTCAACGATATAATATTCTAATAGGAGTAAGGATATTTGTACGAATTAAATGATATATCAAAAATGCAATAAATACGGTAAAAATATAAGCAAGCCGACGAGTATTACAAAGTAGTATCCTCGATTAATTTTTAATTGGGAGTTGAATGCTATCGTAAAAGTTATATTTGCGCTTTTAACTTCATTTGAAAGCCTCGTATTTGTTAATAGAAATCAATGAAATATAATGATTTAATAATGAGAGGAACTGAGAATATATAATTCGAATGAACTAATAAAAGAGTGAAAGAGACAAATATATATATATATATGTATAAAGGAATAGAGAAAGAGGGAGAAAGAAATAAAGAAAGAAAAAAAAAGGAGATAGAGAATGACATACAGAAAAAGAGTGAGAGAGAGAGAGAGAGAGAGAGATAGAGTGAGTCTGTCCGCAAAAACAGAAAAAAAAAAAAAAGAAAGACATGTATGCGAACTAGAACAAAGTAAAGCCGCATTTTTTGTTTCTCTTAATTACCTATCGCGATCTAATTCGACCTGAGTAAGAATATCTTTTATCTTTTTCTCCTCATTTCTCTCTAAATGTTTCTATTTAATATTTTTTTTCAAAGAAGCATTCCCCTTCGCATCGAATCAATATGATTAAACATTGTGAACATTGTCTAACGGTAAGGTCTATACACGCGTCCATTTCGCTGTGTAAGCGTCAATATAAACGTTTTTGTTTTCTCTCTTTGGGGATGAGAAGATTTGTTTGTTTATTTGTTTATTTGTATTTATGTATGAATGTACGTATGTGTCTGAGAGAAATAAACTAATTAAAAATATATATTAAAAATAAAAAGTAAATGAAAAAACAAAACAAAAAAAAAAAGAGAAAAAAAGTCATCATCGCATACGCAGAAGAGAGAAATACAACAGAAGAACGGAACACACACACACCACCAACATCGTCGAATGGATTATACAGGAAACGATGATACGACACGTTCATGAAAGAAACTTTCTCCTCTCTCTTTACAAGAAACTCGGTACATTCACAATCGATCTGCAAGAAATCGATCTTTTCATTCTCGTGAGACTCAGTTTGATTTCAATGACGTTGTCGTTATCATCGTCATCGTCATTGTCATCGTCATCGTCATCGTAGTCGTCGTAGTCGTAGTCGTTGACGTTGGCGTTGTGTCGTCGTCGTCGTCGTCATCGTTGTTGTTGTGTTGTAGACATTATCATCATGAAAATCTCGAAATACATATTTCAGTTTGTTACGCGATAGTTTTTAGGTGCATCGAGAGTTTCTTTTCTGCTTCTTCGAGCGGTAGAAATGCAACTTGGAAGATGATGACTTCCGCGGGCTGGACGCACATCGATCAGGGCACTTCTTCGACGAGTAATATGTATATACATATACATATACATGTATATATATATATATATATTGTAATAGAATATATATATCTATATATATTTACTATATATAAATATTTATATTCTAAACAATTATATATGTCGGCTTATTGATGCCGTTTTATCCGGATTTCTCGATACTACGTAGCGTGGGATTGCTGATTTTGTGAGATTTTGCTGGTACTCTTGTGATGACTGGACGTATGCCTTTCCTAAAATCAATAACGAACAATGAGATACGATCTATCAAACTATTTTAATCGATTAATCGAGAGCACGCAATTCTTATTAAATATTGTTTGTTTTTTTTCTTTTTTCGAGAATAAGTAATTTCCATTTTAGCGCGTAGAAAAGATAACAAAAAAAATAGATAAAAAAGATACAAAAGAAATTAAATGAAATAAATAATAGTAACGACAGTTACATCAACTCGTTCATTAATTAATTTTCTTTCTCTTAATCGGTAATATATATATATATATATATATATATATAAAGGAACAATAGTTCAACGAGATCATATCGTATCAAAGCGTCGTTTTTATATTAAAGTGATTTGAACGAATGGCAAAGAAGCAATTTTCGGAAAGAAACGAACGAATATGTGGCATGAAATTTCTTTTAATTTTTTTCTATGGGAAAACAAAATGGTGAAATTGGGTAGTGGTGGTGGTGGTGGTGGTGGGGGGAGGAGGAATAATTTAATTCGACGTCATTTATTATGAAAAGTAAAATTAAATAAATGAGAGGATACGAGTGTGGGGGAAGGGAAGTAATATGCGCCATGCTATACGTAACGCAACACGATACAGAAATACTTATGCAACATGCACGTGTTAATTACATAAATATATATATATTATATATACATGTGTGTGTGTGTGTGTGAGTGTGAGTAGGTTGTGCGTGTGCGTACGCATACAGATACAACAAAAGGAAAAGAGGATGGGAAATAAATAAATTTGAAGAACATTTCGTGTAATTTACCCCCTTCACCAAGCATAAGCATAAAGTGAAACAACGTAGCAGCGACCAAATTATTACTTAATCATCGTGAAATGCACGTTGTTCTCTCTCCTATATAATATACTATATATATATATATATTTATATCTACGTATTTATTTTAAAAATATATATTATAGTATATTTATATATGCGTGCATGACATATAATGAGAGAATTCGAAATTTTACATAAAGTTTCTATAATCATTCACTAAAGCTGTGATATGTTAGTACATAAAAAGATGCGGCGATACGAAGTGCGATATTATTATGGTATTATGTGAAGAAAGAGACAAAATAATTACTAAGGTACGTTTCCTTTTCAAAAAAACGTTTATTTCCGTTTTCTTTTCTTTTCTTTTTTTTTAAATATATTCATAGATAAAGATGATATATATATATAGATATATATGTGTGTGCATGTACGTATATATATATATATATTTACTTTCTTTAATATATATTTTATTTCTTGGTCAAACACATCAGACATGTACGATCCCTGCATTGTGCGTCGTCTAAAATTAGTTGATTATATCGAAAAAAAAGTCCACAATGAATAATTATTTACTTTCATATAACAAAGTACAGTAATATTTGAGAAAAGGGATAGGCCGCATTATTATATAGGTATATATTTTCTTTTATTTTTAATTATATATCTACGTACCGAGAAATCATTCATCTTTAATAATTCTTTTTTTAAACGCAATAAATACCTGTATAAACGGTTTTGCAAGCATGATGCACAATCTTAATAAGAAAAAAAAAAAAAGTGGGTAATATACACGACAACAAATAAAATTGATACATCGTGTACATATTATTAACGTACTCATTTTGTTTTTTTTTTTGGTGGTGGGATTTTTATTATATTTTTTTGTTTTTTTTTTTTTTTTTTTTTTTTTTTTTTTATTCATTACACTTTCTTATTAAAACTTCTTTTCTTCTTCCCTCTTAAAGTTTACATATTTTTAAATAATTCAAACTTTCATCGATAAGTCTCACTTAAAATCATCACTGCTCAAACGCGTGAGCCAGATTCGCGTATTAATGCCTATGCGTTTTTATTATTTTATTCATTTATATTAAACCATATTTTGTTTAGATATTTCTAATTCGCTCTCTCGCTCTCTCTCTCTCTCTCTCTCTCTCTCTCTCTCTCGCTCGCATAACTCCTTATAATCGGAGAATACAAAAAATACTACATAGATATTTACCTCAGCAATTATTTTGTCTTTTTTTTTTTTTTAACCTGCCACGAGAGAACAATGTTTAAATAACGCTGTTTTTACTGATATTATATTTTATATATTACTAACACACATTCAGATTAAATAGAAAACAAATTTAATGGTTATGATAAGTTTTGATCGATTTAAGAAAGAATAGAAGAATGATATTTCATTAAAATTTCTCTTTTATGATTGAACTTTGATTTTGTTTTGTTTCCTTTAATTATAATTATTCACAAGTGTACGATAAAGAAAGATAATAAAAATAATCCAATGATAAATATTAAATCCAAAATAAAAATAACGTTTCCCTCACTTTTATTCTCCAAATTATTTTCTTAGATATGCAATTATTCACTCTATTCTTTCCGAAATAGAACAAAACTTAATAATGTCTTTAATTTTTTCCAAATTAATCATTCACATTGTAAAAAAAACTTTTTGTACACAAAAATATTAACAAGAGAAAAATAAAAACATTTGTTTATAATAATATGTATACCATAGGACAAAAAATTTATCGATATTTCTCCATGCAAAACCAACATTTGTTTATTTATATTTTAATCATTTTTGTTGTT